TTTTGTGCACATGGCTCTTCACACATCCCCATAAAAAGAAATCTAATAATGTAAGATCAGGTGATCGCGCTGGCCATTCGATCGATCCTCGCCTCCCTATCCACCGATTGGGAAATATTGTATCGAGGTACTGCCGGACATTAAGTTGGCAATGTGATGGTGCTCCATTCTATTGAAACCATATCGTATTCGCTGGAACTTGAGGGTTTCCTGGATCAGGATATAAATTTGCCAACGTTGGAATGACATGATTTTAAAGTAGTGCAAAATAATTGTTGCCATTCAAGTTGCCCTCAATGAAAAAGAGACCAATGATATTGTTTCCTACAATCCCTACCCAAACATTAACCTTTTGAGGGTATTGAGTGTGTTCTTCTCTCATCCAGTGAGGATTTTCCGTGGCCCAGTAGCGGCAATTTTGCCGATTAGCATGACCGTTAAGTGAAAAAGTACACTCATCAGAAAATTTAACGTCTTCTAATTGGATAATATTGTTATCCAACATGTTCATCATTTGCTCACAAAAAACAGTTCTATCAAAATCGTCTCCATGAGCTCCTGAGTAGGTATCATCTTATAGTGATGAAATTTATTTTCTTTTAATATGTTAACTATCGATGTATGGCTAGCATTGAATGTAGTGGATGAATCTAATTTGAGTTCGTCACTCAGTGCATTGGCAGCTGCTTTTTTTATCTGCCTTATATGACCATACTCGCGAAACAGCTTCCCTATTTTACTTATTGTTCCTTGGGATATAGGCGGTGAATTAGAACATTTCTCATGAAATAGGCGAGTTACTTCCTGTTGTGTTCGGGTGTTATCTCCGTAACCAATCATTTGTAAAACGGTTATTTTATATATTTCCGTTAATCTAACCATTTTTCAGAATTGAATTGAACAAACTTTTTACTTAAATTAAAATACTGATAACTTAAATAAAACAATTTACTAATGCGTGTTAAATAACGTTGCCACGGAAATTATTTTAAGTTTTTTAATGGTTACCATCTAAAAACCACATTGCTATGGTTTTTGTTCACTTTCTCATTATCAAGACCTAAACGGGAAATAAGTTTTGAGTATATTTTAGCGAATTTCGGTAACCACATGATTTTAATTTATTTTATCTTAATTAATCTTAATAAACTTGAAAGCGACAACATTTTTGAATAAAGAATGAAAATACCTTTCAAACGATATATCACAAGCCTATACTTTCTATTTTAAAAATTAGGGGTTGTACCTGTCATTCTAAGGGGTTGAAGGTAGGGGTTGCATTTTCACGTTAAAGAATGTCAAGTTATAATTTAAATTTGACGTGTTTCGGGATTTTTTATAAATATGTTAAGTAACCTAAATAATGAATTTATTCCATTTGGCTTTTACACACTGTATATTTTCCCTTCTGCAATAGGTTTTTGTTTATATTTCTTTGCCAGAGAGTGGAGATGGCACTTTTTCTACTTTTAGTTACAGGAACAACTGGGGCTCTTCCGTGAGCTTCATTTTGACAACAGGCTCAATGTGTTGTTTTTTTACAGAGGTATGTTTCTTCTTTGGATGCTTCCTCCTAGCTGAAGGTTCTGCGACATTACTATTAAAACAACTATCATCAGAGTTTGTAGGTTAAAAGTCTGACTCACTAGCGCTAAACGGATCTGACTTGATTTTACTTATTTTTACACGACGTTAAATTTTTACACAAACAATTAATCCGCATGAAAACGCACGCCACGCAGTAATGATAGCGAGTAACAAGTCAAAACAAACCAGCTGATCTGCCGGCCCAGTGCCAACAGAAGATGACCTTGCATTATACGAAAATCACCGAACATTTACAATCGATTCGTCCAAAAATGATGCAGGTCCGGAGCTGCACCCTTCTTGCACCAAACGAGTGAGTGAATTAAAGACGTATAATTCCTTTATTTATTATCGGATCCGCATCGTTCTTATACCAGTCAATCCGCTAATTTTGTTTAATTAGGGCATATTTTTTCATCCAAAACGGTCTAAATATGGAGCTGCATCCTTCTTACAGCAAACGTCTCAATTATCAGCCGTCTATGCATTTGTTCAGTACAGAACTCTTTGGAAAGAGATTTGAAAAAGACCAGTCGTTTTAGATTTTCTTTAGTACTATGTAAGTATTACAAAATTTTAAATTTTAGGCTAGATATGTTAATCTGTTGGACGAAATTAAACGTAGGTTCGAATATCACGGATGGCTATTGAGTGTTACTGTATATCCTGTACTGGAAAAAACTGGATACGATCTTCAAGAAATTAATAGGTAAGTATGTTAGCTCTATGACAAACGGTTTTTTTAAATTCTGACAATCAATTACCTGTCAAAAGTTAAGCTAATATTTAAATAAAACGTTTCTCACAAAATTTGTTGGTTATTTTCAGACTAAATTAAACACAATGGATTTAGTAAATGTATTTTTTATTACAAAGAAATATCAGTACACTACTATGAAAATAATTAAACTGAACAAATTGTCAATTGTTCCTTCTTATGAATCCATGTAAAATATAGATGCGATCGTCACGAAATTAGCAACACAATATAATTTAAATATTTTTAATAATTAAAAATATTAATTAATTATTTTAAACTATACTCAAATTTTATTTTTAGACATCCTATTTAGTTTATATAATAATTAAATTTACTATCACATGATATTAATTTATATTATACTATTAATTTAATATTTAGTCAGACTTTGCGCAGTATTTTTAATATATATTATTATGCTAAATATAACAAACTAGCAACGAAGGAAACTAACGGATCTCACAAAATATTTGTAGTTTGTAACCAATTCCCTCTATTATAAATTTTCGTCTGTATTTTGTAAGTAATTTTTCGTGTAGCTTTTAATTAAAACCTGCTTAGAGTAAATATATTATGACGACTAGAAACGAATTGATTGAGAGTAGTGAATCGATGTCATGAACCACCATTTCGTAACACTCCCCGTGACGC